CAGGGTTGTTTGTAGGTGGCGCTTTTTTTAATATTTAATTTGCAAAAAGCCAAGGTAAAATTTGCAGAATTTTTTTGGTTAAAAGTAGGAATGCAATCAGAATGCGTCATTTTGTGTATCACTTAGTTCTGTTGTTCCTTAAATGCTTTTCCTTTTGCATTAGGGGGATATGTTCCTACGCGTGGATATTTTTTAAAAAAAACAAACCAAACCCAGAGGAGTGTGTGCTAGTGAGCAAAACTTTCTCTCTTGTGAGGCAAACAGCAGTCATTGGTTTGGTGAAGTGTGGGTGTATATGTTTGAATACAATATTAATATTTTACTGAATGCTATAAGATCACTTGGTGAGGTTGAGTCTGTCTCTAAAGCTCTCTTTAAAAACCATCAGTTGTACTGCTTCAGTAACTAATACAAAGTAATACCATTCACAATTAGGAAGTCTTTCTCTGAACTGCAATATTGAAGGTAGGTTACTAACCTGTACCATTACAGATTTTTGACAGATAAAATTTGGAGTTAAGACTCTTTTTCTCCTGGAGATTTAGTGTTCATTTTAAGGTCTCATTCTTCTGTATTTCATGAAATAAAATCTGTCTTCTGATGGAAACAGTAATTGAGCAGTTCATCTTAATGAAATTTTTTTTTGTTATGATCTGTAAAAACTGAAGACTTCTTTACTTAGATTTTTTTTTAATGTCTTTGGGTGAAGCTTTGCTGTAGCAAAGGCCCACTTTGTAGGTCAAGAAAGGAGTTTTGAATATACACCTTTACTTGAAAATCATCTTGCTTAGAGCTTAATATGTTCTGAATTTTTTTACTTGATTCTAGTAGTAGCGTACAACTTCTTTGTTTTAATCACCTATTTTCTGCCACTGATACACAAATAGGAAAAGTCACCCTCAGTGATCTATCCTCCTTGCACTCCTTTCACAAAGGAAGTTATTCCACTAAATACAGTACTTTATTACAAAACTTAGTCCATTTGCTGTCAGCTGTTACCAGTGCTACCACTTGAGCACTGTGGGAAGAGGTGGCCAGCTCTCTCTAGTGTTCTGCAAGTGTTGGCTGAAGTGGCTTGCGTGCTCCTTGTTAGAATCATACAATCATTTAGAGGACCTTTAAGAGTCGAACTGTAAAAGCAGGATGGCCAAGTCCACCGCTAAACCATCTCCATAGGCACCACATCTACACATCTTTTGAATGCCTCCGGGGACGGTGACTCCACCACTTCCCTGGGCAGCCTGTTCCAGCACCTGACAACCCTTTCAGTGAAGAAATTCTTCCCAATATCCCATCTAAACCTCCCCTGGCGCGACTTGAGGCCGTTTCCTTTTGTCCTATTGCTTGTTACTTGGGAGAAGAGACCGACCCCCACCTCACTACACCCTCCTTTCAGGTCGTTGTAGCGAGCGATCAGGTCTCCCTTGTTGTATGCCTTTGAGCCTAGGCAGTCTTGCTGTATGCCAGGCAACAGTCTGGGAGATGCTGCCCTTTTTTTTTCCGCGCCCCCCTCTTGTCTACCAAAGCCCCCACAGAGTTCAGTTTCTGAAAGGCTTCTACCTCCAACATGGGAGGTAAGGATTCTTCAGCACAAATGTCATTGCTGGAAAAAACACCATTCATGTCATTTGAATTACAATCTGAAGAGAATGGTTGGTTCAGTTAGCAATCATGCTGACGTGGGAGTTGCAGAGGTCCTGCTCTGTTCTCCCTACTTGCCTGGAGGTGTTATACAGGGCCCACAGCAGGGAAAAGTCCT